GCCCCAGGCGCAGCTCCTGATGCAGGGAGTCACTTGTAAGGTACAGGTAAGGTACATGCCACACATTCCTCCTAACAGCACAAATCTACTAAGTCATGTCAAAATGAAAGCTGAATAAACGATGCAAAACACAATGATTTCTTTCTTTTTCCTTTTTTAAGCTTAACTTGTTCTTTACACATTGCAATCACTTTCGGGCCTCTTCTGATGTGAAGTAAACCACAGTGAAGTGAAAGCACTGCATTTCACCTGACTGCATCTGCACTTTCCATCCCAGATGTGGAGATCAGGGATGACAGCTCTTGGGTAACAGATTTCAAAAGAACTCCACTATAGCACCTTTACTCATTCTTTTGTTCCACACATTCATGTTTTCCCCCATGAGTGCTCTGCCTCCAAAACAAGAGCTGCGTTTGCTTTCAGGAGCTTTTCCAACCACAGCACATAGTATTTCAGAATGCTTTTATACATGCACAAGCACTACTGGACAGCATTTTCATCTTTTCCTAACCAGCATTCCATACCATTTTACTATAAATTAGGATATTTATCATGCAGTGGACCCCAAAATACCAGTATTTTTATGAAATCTGGATAACATTTCCATCAGTGAGTGTTTCCTTTTTCTGACCAGACAATTGCATTCCACTGAAAATGTGTCGGACACACAAAAAATTCATCCTGGTTTTGCTCATTATTTGTGTACAAATTGAGCGCGGAGTTTGAGAATTAAGTGTATCAACTTGTCCCTGAATATTCCAATATTCCATTGCAAATGCTGCAAATACCATTTTAGGGCAATGGGCAGCACTGTCTGCATGAGTTTAATGGCCACATAGGTGAGTAATTCCAGTGACTGCTGATAAAAAAGGCCAGATCCTGCAGACGCTGAATTTAAGATGAAAGCAGTTTATTCAACTTCTTTTTCACAAACTGTTTTGAAATTGAGAGGATTTCAAACAACGTGTATCATAATAATGAAATACAACAAGTGTGTTTTCCCAACACAGGAAGTGCTGCATCTCCGCCGTTATGGCTCTAGTGAGTCACTAACAGCTCTGCTACCAGGGATCTGTGTCAACGAGAAAAATCACTGTACTTACGGTTGCAGGAGCTGGGGTGGGAGGTGGAGCATAAGATGGCCTTTCTGTTAAAATATAAACGTAAGCAAAGAAAATCCTTGAAAATTTGAATGAGTTCTTTAAAAGGAATCCTCTGTGGCAAACAATTTAACGAGAACATACAGCGAAGGACAGAAGAAACTTTAAAAGAAAACAAAACACATCACTGCTACATTGCTGGTCTTTTATTTTGGCAGATTAAGGAATATGAGAAGAGGGTAAGGAACAAAGCAGGGATAGCAGAAGCTGTGACAGTCAAATCTGCAGTGAGACCAAACGCTTGGGCTGCAGCAGTGCCTGAGACCTCTGGGCAGGTGTCAGAAACAGCTGCGTGCAGTGAGAGCAGAGGGCACAGCAGTCAGACAGCATGGAGCACCGTGGACACAGCACTGCGCACAAGGTCTACGGGCACTGCCTCAGAGCCTGCTGAACCAGATCGGTCATTCACCAAAGGAAGAAAAGTCTGAAAACTTACTTGACATTTTGAAAGGCAAACTTTCAGCCACCTGACATTATATTTGTGTTTCTGAAAGACAAAAGAACACCACCCCATTAAGCATTACGCCAGCCTGCGAGGCTTCCACCACCCGTCCATTCATTACAATTACCAAAAGCTCGCCAGTTCCGAAAACAAAAGGCTTTCCGGAAACAAAGGCGCTCTCTGCCATAACAGCCGCGCTCCCCACGAGTTCTATTAAAGGGCCGCGGCACGAAACGCGCGGCTGTGCGGCGCTCACGTTCCGGACTTCGCGAACCGGCGCCCCGGGAGCCATTTCACGTCGCGCCGAGCGCCGCCCGCAGGGAGCCCTTCGGCAGCCCGGCCCCGCTTCCCGGCTCTTCTCCTCCAGGAACTCCGCGAAGTTCCACCGCCGCTCGGCGCCACCCGCCAGCCGGGCCCCCGGCGCGGAGCTCCGCACGGAGCTGCAAACGCCGCCCCGCCCGCCAACCGCGAGGGCCGCGCCGCCCGGAGGAGGCCGCGAGCGGAGCCGCCGCGCAAGCAGCGCCCATCTGAGCCCCTTCGGTCCGGTGCAAAGGGCCGAGAGCCGCCCCGCGAGGGGCACCGAGAGCTCCCCACCCGCCCCGCGCCCCCACGCACTCACCGCTCCGCCGCCGCCGCGCTCCCTTTGTTCCTCCCCGGGCCGAGCCGGCGGCGAGCACTACGCCTGCGCGCACCGCTCCGCACTTTCGCCACGGCCGCCGCCCTGCTCTCGCCCGGGGGTGTCCGGATGACGGGGGGCTGGTCGGTCCGTCCTGGTCGCCTCGTAGACGCTGCCGGGTTGAGGGCTGCCCCGCGCACCGCTAAGAGGGGAAGGAGAGCGGAAGGTGTTGTGGCGAATCTGCGGGGAACGCTGCCTCACCCCGCCGAGACCGGGATGGGGCGAGGGTGGGGCGCGGCGTTCCCGCGCTCCCGGGGCGGCGGGCGGGACTCTGCTCCGCGGCCGCAGCCTCGCGTGCCCTCAGCCAGCACAGCCAGGGCGCGGGGCGGGCGGGAGCCGTGCACTTCCACGTTCCTTTCAGCACTTTCCACAGAGATGTGGCCACGTTCCCCGGTAGCGAATCTGCGGTGCAGGGCGGCGTCGCACATGGTGCCTCGCGGCCATTGCGCGCCTTTTTCAGCTGAGGCGGCGGCGCCGCGCGTCCGGCCCGAGTGAATCCTGTAAAAAATCCCGTAAAAAAATCCCATAACGGGGCGAAATAAGGGCTGTTTGGGGAACCTAGAATAGCTCTACCCGACGTGGTGACAATGGCGGCTGCACGAGGCGTGAAGTCAGGCCGTCCAACAGAAGGGCCGAATGACGGCGGTGCTGCAAAGCGCCCCGAGGCCGAGGCACGGCACCGCGTGCTCCGCTGGGATCGGTTACACCGCGGAGCTGTCAGTGAGAGGCTGCAGGTGAAATAAAGGTTGGGGACTGGAAAACTGTCCTGTGGCTGAAAAATAACGACCCCTGTGCCTGTAATGGACGGCTGTGGTGGGCCTGGTGCACGAGGAGAAACAAAGCGTGACTGCCCTTGGAAAGGCACCAGAAACAGCTCTTTTTAAACACAAACAAACAATGCCTGTATAACCCTGAAGGGTGATAGAAGGGGAGAAGAACAAACTGGCCATAATGCCGAGGTGCTGCAGTTCTTGGTGCCTGCAGCCTGGCCTGCTTTGTTTTTGTTCTTAAGTAAGCATGCTTTCATGGACACATGAAGGGATGAGCTCTGCCCCCACTGCTCACAGTGTGCTAATGGAGATTTGTGGTATTACACAGAATAATCTGACTTGCATTTGACAACAGAAGGAATATGACAATTGAAAAGATCCTCCAACAGCCAAATCTGCAGCCTTTTGGTCCTCCAGCTTCACTTGGGCAGAACGTTTGTAAGGTAAAGATAAAATACTTACAGAAGTGAAAAATAACCCTGTTTTGTCTTGGATTTGACTCCATGCATTCATTGCATTGCATTGTTCATGAAATTGTGTTCGATGTTGCATTAAATTTGCACAAGTTACTGGAATGTTCAATGCAGTTCCATGCTAATTCTGAATCATTGTACATGTTTCCAAGGTCAGCAATTTACTGTTTTCTTTGGTTTACTTGGTTTTACTTGGCTCTTCTTGTGCCCATGCACACCCACCTATAGTTCACACTGACGCCTGTGGAGGTTTGGGTAGTTTATGAGCCAACAAAGAAATTTGAAAAGAGCAATTTTGCAGGTAACTTAAAAGATACTCCCTTGTATCGGTACTTTAGGGGAAGAAAATGAAGTTAAAAACAGGGTGCATATTTGAATCAGTTTGAGAGTCGCAGCAGTTCTTGATATGGGGGAGGAATTCCGTGTCAAGCAGTCCCATGTGGAGAAGCAGCCCTTTGATCAGGGAAGGGTGGGCTGCCTGCAGTGCTGTAGTAACAAAGCCAGCTATTACTATGTGCTGCAGTGTTTTTTTCTATTAGCCTCAGGTTTCGTGGTCATAAAACTGTACAGCTGAGTTACTACAGCTGGTTTCCAGCTTTAATCAGAAGCTGTGTGTTTTAGGAGCTGTTGAGCTGAGTGTTACAGCTGTGTGGATGGAATACAGCTCTCACTGCAGGATAGCTCAGGATGTGTTTGTGCTGCTGCTGCTGTACTGAGACGGCTTCAGAAACAGCGAGGTCAGGTGTGTAGGTGATGAAATGTGCAGTTAAGGGCAGCAATTTTTCTGGTTGCTTAAGCTTCCCAAATGAGTGTGACTAATGCACAATAATACCAATATTCTAAAATAATGTTTAGATAGTACTGCAAGATTAAGGCCGGGTCTGTGCTCTGTACTGTTCTGCTGAGATTTGTGTTACAAGGGAAGACATTTGGAGTTAGGCTGAGGAAGAGAAACCCCAAGAAACCCCCAAACTGGGGTCCAAGAGTGAGCCGGGCGCTCACTGGCCAAAGAAAAAATCTGTCTGTGGGTAAGGTTTTCCATTTTTGGTTACTGTGGAGCTGCCAGGGCTTTCTGTGTGTATGGTAATGGCGATGTGCCTGTGCAAGCTCTGCCTGCGTGAGAGGAGCTGTAAGGTTATGTGTTCAACCAAGTTTCTGTTACGTGTTTACTTGCTCTTTACTTTCGCCAGCCAGCTTATCTTTTAGATCATTGCTTTGTAAGCCAGATGCCATCATCTGCTCCTGGTATGGCACTCACACAGAGGTCTCGTCAGGTTGGCTGGAGTTAGCAGCAGATTGTTTAGTAGGAGGACACACAGCTCCCACGTGCTGGTAGAGGTCCTCGGGGAGTTGGAGTTGTAGTGCAGGGAGCTTTGCAAAGTGCTCAGATGCAGTGCTGTGGATTTTCTTACCTACAGCTTTAGTTTGTGTTCTCTGCCACCCAGACCCCCCAGGACAGACACACTGAAGCTCACAAAGCAGCATGGGCAAACTCTGTTTTATTATTTTTATTGTTGTACTGCTATTTGCTTTGGTAAGTTTGTATCCCTGTTTAAAGTGCCTTAAAGCAATTAAAACTTAGTTTAAATTCAAGTATTGTGAAATATAGAGTACAGCACACAAAAAAGCTGCATAGTGAAAATGCCAGGAGAGGCTGTTACATTCAGGATGCCAACTCAGGTATTAACACCACCAGATCAGTTTTAAGGTTAATGATAATTAGCCAGCTTTATACAGTAGATAGAGAACCGTGGGCAGCGTAAACATGGCGTTCTTGCTGTTGATAAAAGGCAGAAGCGTAACTGAACGGCGGAGGACTTTGTGGTGCCAGTCCTGTGACCCGTGCCTTGAGTCATATGGCACTCACTGACACTGCAGTCAATCCTTTCCTGCTGCTTTGGATCCCGCAGATTCTGTCTGTGTGTTTTCTTGCTTTGAGCCCCCGTAGTTCCAGTGATCCCAGCAGGAGTTTCTGACCTCCTTAAATCCCTGTAAACAAACGTCCTTACTCTGTTTTGTTTGTTTGAAGTTTGTCCCGTGGTCTCATAAAGCATGTTGGGGTTCCATTTCTGGTTTCTGTCCGTGTGCAGATGCAGGACTGCCAGCTCTGCTTTGTATTGCCCATTGCTCTGCCTGCTGCCTCCAGGGGCACTTCATGTGCTGGCAGCTCTGACTCAGCACACGCAGCCCTTATTTTGTCCGTCCCACTGAAGCCATAGTGGTCGTGACCTGGCAGCTCAGTGATCTGCTGTGTGCTGGGTCAGGGGCCAGTTTTACCTACAGGATTTGTCAGGAGAGGAATCTATTGAAGGTATTTAAATTCACGTTGCAACTACTCACAAAATGAATTAAATATCGGTATTAAAAATGGATGCTTGACTCCTTAAATTTGATTCTCAATATGGCTGGGAGTCGTTTTGCAGATGCACAAGTAGAGCTAAGAGAATGATTGATTTTCAGTGGGAATCCCTGCTTCAAAAGCAGCAGAACCATACAGCTCAGTGTTATTTGTTTGTAATGGCACTGCTGAGAAATGTGTCCATGGTCATAGGGGAGAGACGTTTTTGCTCAGTTGCTGCCTAAAAAATGCTTAAAAATACTATTCACTTTTGAAAGACAATTGCTGGTTAATACCTGGTGTGTTTTAAGAGCGTTGTTGCATGTCACTTTTTTTTTTTTCTATTAGAAAGTGTTTTAAAATATCTATCAAGTATGACAATTATGATAGGAATGGTTCATCAGCCAATATGCATATGCAGTATTGAAGAAGAGAATGAAATATGTGGTTCTCATTCCCGGAGTTCTCTTGCCGAGGTACAAAGTTACAGTTTAATTCTTTTAATGTTTGGAGAAGTACTACAAAACAACAGCGATGAGAGAACTGCGCCCTGCGCCCAGAGCAGGAAGCTGGAGGCAGTCAGGCTTGGCGGGATCTGCCTCTCCTCTCTTCTCCCCGCCGCTGTGCGTCGTGCGCAGGGCCGTATGGAGGTGGGGGCTCCGGCCTGCTGTGCCCAGCGCTAGGGTGTGATGGAGGGAATGCTGCACGAGCGCCTCATCACCAGCCTGACCTCGATGGCAGGCAGGGTTTTCTGCTGGCTGGGTTTGCGCCCTTCCTCGGCCGCTGCCAGGTGCAGGTCAAAGCGCAGCGAAACGGATTTCTTCCTCAAGCGCGGGTTGTCCTTGAAGAAAGAGCCTTCCCACTGCTTAATGACTTCGTCCACTTTTTCTGTCCTGAAACAGCAAAGCACAGGTGTTTGGGCCCTGTAGGTGCTGTGCAACACGTAACTTCGGGACTGCTTTTAAAATGTTTCACTGAGTAACCAGAGTTCTTATTTATTTATTCGCTGATTAAAATTTGAACAGCTTCCTTCTGGAAAGCCAAGTCGAGGGGACATTTCAGTGTGGTTTTGTTTGTACGCTTTTAAGTAGACTTGGATACAAAACCATTGCTCTGAACACAGATAGTTTGTTTCCAAGGAGAAAGAATAAAACATTCCAGCCCTCAGATGCCCCCTGAACAGCCAGGCTCTCCTTCCCTCTGTAGTAATCAGCAGAACAGAGGGGTTTCCCAATAGAGCCAGGCCTGAATTTATGTGTGTAAAAACGCCCCAGAGGGACTTTGCAGACACGGCATGGGCTCGTTTACTTTCAGCTTTAACTAAATGCATTAATAGTTTCATTCTTGACAGAAATTGCAGTTAGAAGCAGCGTCATGATATTGCTAGCTCAGGAAGTAAATGCTAATAAAGAGATGTTTAATTTTTAATATTGTTAAAACACACCATTCAATAGAACTTGAACTACCACTGCTACTCTGGAGCTTCCTAGCTGTGTGGATACTTAAGGAAGGAAAAATCAGAGAGCAAATTGTAATGCCCCAGATTCACATTTAAATATTTTCTTAAATTGATGCTTATCTTACTTTATAGTGCCATGAGCTTCAGCACTTTGCTTCATAATATTTCCTTCTAGGACTGCTTGTTTTGTCATCAACTCCATCTTGTCACTTTCGTGCTTCTTTACTCCATCTGTAAAAGAAAATGCAGATGTGCCATGCAGGTGGATGGGGGGTGGCAGCAGCCCAGCTCTGAAGCTCTGTGGAGGCCGTGAGCCCAGGGGGCGGCGAGCACCGACCTGCAGGCAGCGTGAGGGCGGTCGTGGTGAGGCTGGGCTTCCTGCCCTTCTGCTCGGGTATGGAGCAGCCGTACCTGCAAAAATAAACAGCTTCACCAGCACCTCATAGCACTGAATTACTTTAATCCATCACTTGTTTCACAAGCTGTGGGCAATTTAAAAATAGGAGGAGTATGAGAAGTTCAGTTTGACTGTAGTAACCATTAGGATTTCTTGTTCTGAATGTAAAACTAAAGAAAGTGAAAATGTCTGTTTAATTTTGTCAGCAATTTGAACAGGTTATAGTGTGTCGGTTGTGTGCCAGGTAGAGAGATTTATTTTTATTAATACTGTGTTGAGTGTATTTTCACAGAGTTAGAAGCACTGAATCTGAGTCCCTTGTGTGGAATCTTATTCAAATGTGTGAGGCTGCTGGGCGAAGGCCCTGCATCATCTGAGGGAGGCAGTGATCTGCTGAGAGCTCTCTGAGCCCTGTTTTGTTTGGGTACCAGTGGAAGCGATGCTGTGCATTTCCTTATCCTCTGTTGCTGGCAGAGCTGTAGCTGCCTCTCGCAGATCTGCACGTGAAAGTGCTGGTGTTCAGTGTGCTGGGGAGGGCAGACAAGGAGCAGCTAAAGCAGAGTGTCACTGCCAGACACTGTTAGACAGCGTGCTGATGTGCAGAGCCCCACATGTGTGACTGACACTTGTTTCAGGTGGTGCTGAGTGATACGAGCCTCATGCAAAGGGATCCTTCGTGTGATCCCACGGGAGCAGCCACACAGACCTGCACTGACAGCAGTGCCTCCAGTGAGCGTGCAGGCAGCTCGTTATTACCTGCAGTGTACTGAGAGAAGTCTGACATCCATAAGTGTGGAACTGGTAAAGCTGAGCACAATGAAAACGCTTGTAAGGATTTTATAATACCACATTTTACTGAGTGGCTCTTGTATTTACAATGCGATGGTTATTTCACTGGGGAGTTCTGAAGAGGAAGACAACGTGAGTTCAGCCAGCAGTACCTGTTCTCTTCCTGCTCCAGCAGGCTGCGGTACGTTGCAATCTCCTCCTCCAGCTTCATCCTCGTGTTCAGGAGAATTTCGTGCTCTCGCAGCTGCTTCTCGATGCCTCTCCTCACTTCCTGCAGGTCCTTCTCCAAGCATTCAATCTCCGCCTCTAAGTTCTGTAGCTGCATGTGGTACTGCTGCTCCGTGGCACGCAGCGAGCGCTCCAAGCCCTTTTCCTGTTGAATTTAACTCTTGTAAGATCTGGAAAGTGTCCGCGAAGATGCTGTACATACTTGTCATTAACGGTCAGACTGTTTTTGTGTCGAGTCCTCTAAGAATATTATTAAGAACAACAGTACAATAGTTTTTAAGGTAAACTTTGTTAAGGCTGAGATATTTTCCAGTAAAACCTGTAATCATTTAAGAGAGGATAAAAGCATGCGGCCCTGGGTTATTTTCCTTACCACAGCGTGCAGGGATTCGATCTCGCTCTGCATGTGGTGCCACTGCCGCCGGGCCTCGCTCAGCTCTGCTCTGGCCGCCTGCAACGCTTCTGCATCTTTGTCCATTCTTTTCACTGGAGCTGCTTCTTGCTGCAGGGGATAAAGAAACAGATGACATAAAAATATTTATATAAAAATAAACTAAGCAGGCACACAAAGATCTCTTGTTAGGATTTTTTTAGATTCCCATAGATTTGTTAGAGCTGGCAGTGATGAGTTAACATTCTGTGTGCTGTGTAATGAGGAAGCTATCCTGCTGTGCATGGGGAGTCGTTGGCTGTCTGCAGCCCCAACATTTCTTGTAGAGGAATTCCAGTGCAACCCAAATGGTTGTATTTAGCCCACATCCAACTCCTGAGCACACAGGCTTGGCTTCATGCAGGCAGGGGAACTGCAGTGGAAATGGTCTTTAGTTGTAATGTATTTTTAATATTTGTTTCTAGGGACAGCTTTATAGAAAGGGATGCATGAATATGTTACAGTTGATAATAGCTCTCATTATGTTCCTGCCTGAGCAGATTGCTATTTGAGGGCAAGCACCTCCATGCATTACCTGAATAGCATCTCTGTCCAAGCCTACAACTTCTTGTTCTTTAAGAACAGGTTAATTAATTTGCACAGAATGGGAAGGGAAGGTTGGCTTGCTGTGTGCTGACAGCCACGTGCACTGTAGCAGTTCGTCTGCGCAGCTCACGATGGAAAGGAACTCTTTAAGGTCAGGTGTTACAAACGTTTCCCCCACCCTCCAGTATTGTAACCTATGGTAATGACCACCATCACACCACCATTTTGGTGAAACCCTGCAGTTGGCTGTTCTGGAAGGGCTCGCTCAGTGCTCCCTGCTCGTCCCTGCAGAGTTGCTGTCCCACAGCTGTCGTGGCTCTGCTGGGCTGCTTTGTGCCACGCTCAGCTGCAGGCCTGGCCTGGCCTGGGGCTCCAGCAGGCGCTGCAGCAGCACTGTGAGCAGTGCTTCAACACAGCTCCCAATGCCTGCAGTCCCTCTTCTGCAGCACGGCTGGGTGACAGCGTGTCTGATTTGCAGATTGAGTCTCTTGGCATTTGATGTCAGTCACTTGGTTTGCTGTTTTGTTTCAAGGCTTTTAGGTTTTAGAGATGGTTTGTATATAAACCGAAACCAGCAGCACTGCCCATTGATAAGCTGTCACGAATCTGTATGGAAGAACAAATTATATTTACTGAAAAGTATGGCAGTTTTACTGTGAGCATTAGGAAAGAGGCCCTGAAAAGGCACAGGTTTCTTTAATAGAGGTGCTAAAAGCTGGAAGGCTTTCTTCAAATTAATGGCTCCTTTACCTCGCCTCCGATATTCGAGATTCTCGCCTGCTGTGTGGTAACAGAGTGCAGCTCGTGTGGCTGTGCAGCCAGCAGTGCGCTGTGCAGGTACAGAGCAGGGCTGCACGGCTCTCCGTTAGCGCGCATTTAGGCCGTAAACAAAACCTTTTCTTTCTCTTCCAGTCCAAATCTTACTGCAGTAAAACCAAAATCCCGTCCCCCGTAATATGCTGCATGGAAAAGACAATGCCGTACCTCACAGAGGCTGAGGGAGGAGCTGCACGGACAAGGGCTGCCTCCTCCTCTGGAAGGTGTCTGCATGAAGTCATTACCTGGGTCCTCGCTGAGGCGGCGCTCCTTATCTGATGCCTGGTGTCGGCCGTTTCATACTTTGCCCCGCTGCCCCCGAGCAGCCGGGCCGCTTCCATCCCCCTCCCATGCTCCCGTTTGGTGCCCGGCCTCGCTGGGGGTGGGGGGGCTCTGCAGAGCCTGCGGCGGGAGGAGGCAGAGCAGCGGCGGCTCTTAAAGCCGCAGAGCTCCGTTCTGGGCGGCGGAGCGACGTCCGTCCTGCAGGTGTCTGCTATCGCGGCGCCTGGTGCTTCGGCGCGGCTGGAATCAGGATGCTCAGCTTGTGTGTGGAAGTGAACGCGTGCAGTGTCTTCGTGTTTCTGTTATGCTTTAAGTTCGGGTTTTTTATAACCTCAAAATGTGTGAGGATAGGAGATACGAGTCTTACTTTCCCCATTGCTACATGGAGGGCGGGAAGTGGAGGCAGTCTGTCCTGCTTTCTACAAAACGTTCTGTTCCCTGGCCTGTTTTAACTGCTGAGTAGTTACAGCCTCAATGATCGTGTATGGTAAGAACTTCCTTTAACTTTCTGAAGTTTTTTCAGCAGTGTGCAGTGTGGGATATTTAGTAAAAATTCTGATTCCACTAAGAAAATGAACCCACAAAGCGATGTGTTTTGGACTGCAGCATACATCAGTAAAACGAGGGGAAAGAGGCAGTAATCTTACAAGATGCTCCTTTGAAGAAGTCAAAGCCTTGTTCCACTTCAAAGTCTCCTTGTGTGCACAAGGCTTCCTTGTTCCTGACTGTCTGCTGGCACATGTGAAAGGATCCCATGTAGCGCTTGGATTTCTGTGAACTGGTTGTTCTCCAGCTGACCTGGGCAGGAATGAGAATGTTTTGTTCTCCACTGTTTTTTCGGCAGCTATCGTAAACATTCTACTTTTACTTAGTTCTAAAAACAATTATTGTCAGTTTTTTCGTTGATCCACATCCGTGAAACAAACATAAGATTTTTTTAGCTTAGGAGGGTATGAACAAGAAAGGAGGAAGCCCTGTGTCCAAGCAAATATTGCATAGTTTTTTTTTTAACTTTTCATCACAGTAGCGGTGCTTTGCAGCTGCCCTGCAGTTCCCTGGGGCTCAGAATGTCTTCTGCTTCCACCAGGCAGTCAGGGCTGCTGCTCAGAAATGTTTCTGTTTGAAGTGCGGTGCAGAGGTCTGGGTGTTGGACTTGGTCCCAACAAACCAAATGTTGTGCATCAAAAGGTGTCAAGAGCTGAAATGTTGATCTCATTGCTGAAAACTTTGTTTTTCCTTCCCTTTTTCCAAGCGTAAGGGGGCCATCTGGCTCTGACGTTGCTGCAGCTCTAAGGTAGGTTTAAGCTACCTTATTTTCACCAGCTTTTGTGTCATGTTGGATCCTAGCAACTTTCAGTTTATTGCAGGTGTTGGATTTTTGTCGTCTAAATACCAGTTGTCAATTCTTTGGATTCTGTGCTAATGTCACTGTGGTTGCAGGCTCCTTTGGTTCGCCATTGGTGACAGAACAGACCATAAATTGAGTGGTTTCTAGTAATCATAAGTGATTCTACTTTATCTTTTAGATCATAGTATTAAATTCAGGATTATCGTGCTTGTAGGTAAAGTAGAAATCTGCAATAGTACAAAAATGTCTGAAATCTAAAAATTTCTGAATTCCCAATGATTATTCACAGCGATCACAGCTGCATTCCTTGACACGATGTATTACTTCGTATTTCTTCATGTAGGCTGTGTGGAAAACACGTGATCTTGGAAGAGGAATGTGGAAGAAACACACTTTTCTCTTCACAGTGGAGATGCTGTCTGTCACATGCTCCTGATTTTTACCTCTTCATACTGACATGTGTATAACAATCTTCTAATTAATTTCTCTCTGGCATTTATCACGGTGACTTTTATGTAGTGGTTGGCTTTCAGACACGGTGGTTTTGCCGTACTGATTTCATCCTCTGATTGTTTTTATTACCCTGGCTTTTGCTCGTTCCAAGCGGGAAGCGAAGTCGTGCTCATCGTTGGGTTTGCAGAGAGCGAAACAGAAGCACAGCATGAAATCTGTGCTGCCATCAGAATTTGAGTTTGAGTCAAATGTTGAAGGGACGTGATGGAACGTGCAGAACGTTTGTATTCTGGAGGCACCATGGATGCTCACAGGAGGTCGCAGTGTGTTCTCTTATCTGCGAATCACACAGAAATGGTCAACATTTGGACTCGCGCACAAAGATGGAGGTGCAGGTTGGGGGGGTTGTGGACCGGCTCTTCGTTTTGTTCGGAACGGCGGATGTTGAGCAGCTCGCCGCCGGGCGGCCGGCAGTCAGACCGAGGGCTCAGAACGGACGACGGTGCGTCCAGCAGGCGGCGCTCCGGAGCGCCTCTCCCTGTTTGTGCCGCGCTTGGAAATCGGTGAAGCCGCTCCGCTCCCCTGCGGCGGCAGCCGCTGCACCGCTGGCAGAAACTTCTCTCTTCGTCCTCTACATGGCTGCAAGTTGATAGCTTGCTTTATTTATTTTGTATTTATTTATTTATTTTTTATCCACTATTCCTTTAATCCCAAGTTTAAGCAGTTTTTAAAAATTATTTTCATGTTCTAACATTGGATTAATGCCTCTATGTGAGGAGCGCAGTACTGTGGATATTACATATGGTGAAGCAAAATGCTGAACAGAATGGAAGATATGGCTCAGGAGTCCTCGGTGGTGACGCAAAGAATGAAAGGAGATTAATATCTTAAAGCTTGCTGAGTCCTTTTATTAGTCAAGAAATTTGGAAAACTTGGTTAAAACAGCAAAAATGTATTATCTATTAATTCTAGTAACTCAGAAATATAGAAAGCATATTTGATTGGAGGTGTGCACAATGTTTCTAGTAACTGAATAAAGAATTGATGATAGACTTAAAGAACACCATGAAAATAATGCAGCTAATACCAATGGACTGAAGTGGAAACTGTATTGCATGGGTGCTAAGAATGAAAAATTATGTTCTGCTTCTATCAGAGAATCTTAGCAAAAAGCCAATCTATTTTTTTTTTTACTCCATTTGAAAGAACAAACTTGTTTATACTCCTGCTTGGAAAGAAACATGGAAAGAATGGATCTTTGCGACCTCAGGTTGTGCCTCATATCTTCTCTTCAACTTCCTTCACGTGCGATGCAACAACTTTTCCATCCACCACTTCCTCAACGATGGTCTTGATCTTCCTGGTTTTGGTGGGATCTGAGCATCACAAAGGACACAAAGCAAATATTGAGCCAGTTGTTACCACACCTCACATGGACAGCTGCGTGGAAATTAGTTACTTGTTCCAAAGAACTATGATGTAATTAAACAGAATGGCATGCATTATTTTACTTTAAAACTTTGGAAATAATTCTGAATGGGTACTTAATGGTTCTGTGTCTGGTAGTTCTGCTGGTTATGCCAAACATCGATATTTGCCTGAATTTCAGTGTTCAAGGGCTATTACAGCAAAGCTTTATTCGGTTGAGTTCTGCCTACCCTGAGAAGAATCCAGTGACTGCGTTTGTGACTTCGGCCCCGTCAAAGATGAGCTTTCAAATACAACTCCCTGCCCGCCACCCCTGAAAATGAAGCAGAGACACGCAGTGCTGCAGTGTTTGTCACGCTCAGGAGAGTTTGTGTTATTTCCTCTTCAGGTTGGCATTCATAGGTTAATTAAATACTGTGTGGAACTCAAGATGTCTGTGAAGAAGAGCCAGTTTTCAGAATCGGCCCATCTGCCTTACTGGTCTTTTGGTGAGCGCAGCGCTTGTTTTTGACTCTTCCTGGAGAGGATACTGTTACTGAAAATAAAACAAAGATTTTGGACGCTTTCCTTACACAAACTCGCCGTCCAGCAGGCGGCGGTAGGTTTCGATCTCCATTTCCAGGCGAGACTTGATGTCGAGAAGCTGCTGATACTCCGCGCCCTGGCGCTCCATGTCAGCCCTGACCTGCAGCAGCTGAGACTCCAGGTTCCCAATCTGAAGCTGCATTTGTGAAAGCTGAGCGCAGTAACCTCCTTCTGTTTCTGCTAACGTGTCTTCAAGGGATTTTTTCTGTGTAGGAAAGACATTGAGTAATAGCTGACTGAGGAAGAAGGATTCCTTACAAATACAAAACAACAGAATCAGTTTGATGGCAGTAAGTGTAGCCTCACTGTTCAGAGGTATTTGTTTTTTTCTTGAAATCCTGGTTTGTTAATTAGCTTTTGCTGCTTCACTGAATGTGGACATGAAAGTTCACTTGCTTTATAACGTGCAACTCGCAATCCAATTGTGTACTGCTATTTAAGAACTAAAAGAATGCAGGATTTAATAGGAAATACATGCAAACCTTTGATCCTGTAGAAAAGTATAAGATCTAAAAAGAGCTGGTAAGTTGGAGAAGGTTCTCTGTCTAATTAGCAGTTTCCACATACCATGGCAAGCTGAGATTGCAGCTCAATTTCCAAGTTCTGAAGAGTCCGTTTCAGGTCGGTGATCTCACTTTTCCCTGACTGAAGCTGCTCGGTGTTGGTGGAGATCTCCCTTTTCAGCTCCCCACTCTGAAATGGCAAAGAGGAAGAGTAACTCCTCTGTTCTGGGCACTCACGGTTACACGCGTTGGGCCGAATTTTCCGTCAGTGAGGTTGTTACTTTTTCATTGAACCACGCTTCAGCCTCTTTTCGGTTTTGCTCAGCAATGACTTCGTACTGCCCCCTCATGTCATTCAGAAGCTTGGTGAGGTCAATTCCTGGGGCTGCATCCATTTCAACGCTGACTTGGCCAACTGCGCTGCTCTGGAGACCCTGGAGCTCCTGGAAAGATTTGAAGTAAAAATTATCTTAATAAAAGGCAAAATACTTCTACCAGCAACGTATGCAAAGAAATGTGTGCGACACAAATTCTTTTTCCATGGGAACCCTTCCTAATTACGTTCTGCCTCTTCTTTGAAGAATATGAAATGTCGAAATATGACACAGATCCTGCCTGTCATTTCCATTTGCCTCATGGATTTGATTTAACTTTCTGATTCATTGCGTATCTCCTGAGCAAGCTCAGAAAAGAACAGCGAGCAAATGAAATACTGACGTGAAACCAAGGATCTGCCACGTGTGTAACTGAGGGAATAATTGGATGTTTCACACTTCCATCTGCTGTTCTATGAACATATAA